GTTTCATGTTATATTACCAAAATCTCCTTTTTCTCAACATGAAGGAATGGATAAAAAAAGACGGCGGGATTTTTTACTTTTATTATTTTAATAGCTTGTAAAAATTATTGATATTCATTAGATATTTTCTCTTTGTAGCTCTGAAGGTGAAAACCAAGATCCTACTCCAGAAAAAGATGATGTAAGTACAAAATTAAAATTATGCACTTTTATACAATTTAATTAATTGCTTTGTAAATTTAGTGACAATTTAGTGTTTTAAAAGGATTCATTTTTTTCTTGGGTATTTTTTTTTTTTTTTTTTTTTTTTTTTTTTTTAATATCTGGTATTTTCTTATTATAATTTTTCCCAATAAAAAAAATGATCACTTATTTCATCAAAAATATCATTTTTATATTTAAAAATATTTTTTTAATTACAGGTATCCAAAAGACGTTTTCTGAGATGTCCCGCTGCTGTGACTGTTGCGCATTTAAAGAAGTTTATCAGAATGAAATATGGTCTTCCATATTCTTATGAAGTAAGTAAAATTTTTCTACTAAAATTCTAAAAATTATTTTTCTGAAAGTGTAAATATCAAGTCAGAAAAAAAATTCAACGTTATTATGTTCAAAGTCAAATTCAACGTTATTATGTTTATGTAGAAGCACATAAGTAAGAAATTGATTTAAAACACATTATTTTATTGTAGATTACTTTTTTCTGGCGCTCGGGGCCACAGGCTTCGGTTTCGAGTTCCGGCGGTGCCATGGATGTTTGTAGTGGTACGGAATCCAATTTAAACCGTAGGTCCCGGCCTAATATGCTGTAGTGCGTTCGGCGTCCACCATGGGTTGTTGCTAGTGCCAATGTTAATGCTGATGAGATTACTTTTTAGTATGATAACCGTGTAATGTCGAAGAGATAGATTGCTTTACTTAGTATTTAATTGTAAGGGAAATAAAATTGCAAAGAAATACTATATAGTTATCGCAGAGGTCAAAAGAAACTAGGAAATTGATTCTCCCCTTGTATAAAGCGGCGTGATGGCCAATTGGCTAGCGCTCTGGCCTTTGGCACCATAGGGTTCGAATCCTGGCGGTTGCGTGGATGTTTGTGAGTGGTTCGGAATCCACTTTAAAATGTAGGTCCCGGTCTGCTTGGCCCTCGTATGCACAAGATGACCATAGAGCAACAAACCAAACCAATCTTTTTCTTCATTGGTCAGCAGCCCCATAGTGGACCAAGTTCGTCTGCCTACTGGTGGATTTTGAGACGGAAGATTGTTTTCTTTTTATGGGTAGGGCAGTCAGTCCTATGCTCAACGCTCTACAGTCATATTAGACCGGGACCTACGGTTTAAAGTGGATTCCGAACCACTATAAACATTAATGGCACCGTCAGGACTCGAGCCCTAAACCTGTGGCACAGAGCGCTGGTTATTCGGTCATCAGGCCCCATTTTATTATAATACAATAATTAATTCGACGAATAAACTTATTTTTAAAATGCGATTTGTAATACTTAAATAAATCAATTACTTTTACTTACTTTCCATAATCAATTACTTAATTTTACTGTTTTATTCAGTTTAATTTTATTACTCATAAACAAATTTCACCAACTTAATTGGCAGAACTGAAGCAATTCGTAAATCTTTTTCTGATTCGATTCGCCGAATACGCGAATCAAAGTATTCTGAAAACCGATCGAATCTTTTTTCCGTTCGACCATCCTTCAGTGCGCGATAATAATACCTGAACCTTTCATTCTTCTGGAACAAAATTAGAAGAGTGTGAGTGAGTCTGGAATAATCCATTTCGAAAAGGGTGGGTGGGAGGACGAGTCTTGCGAGCGGAAGTCGGTGTCGGTCAACTGAAAGGACAGACTCACCCGGAGAGAAAACAGACACTCCACGGTCAGGAGGGGAAGGGGGGGGGGAAGAAAAGCCAAACGATTTCAAGTGGTTTTAAAGTAAACAGAAGACAATAAAGGGAGTGAAGAAACCGTCTACAAATATTTGATTATGTTGTGTGTGTGTGTGTGTGTGTGTGTTTGGATGTACTGTCTTGAGGATGAATTTGGAGAGTGTCTGAGTGAAAAAGTTACTTTTAAAAGCATGTAGGATATTGGGACATATGTTGCCATGGATTTTCTTTAAATATTTTTAGTACTTTGTACTGTATTCTGTAGTACTAGTAAAAAAAATGCAGAAAAAATGGTCTTGTTCGCTTTCTGCTTTTCAAATCTTTGATTTTCATCACAAACTTTTTAAAAATACAGATTTATTAACATGAAACCAAACCGAAAAATAAAATTGATAAGTGGAGGACTAAAATTAATAAGCGAATAAGATAAAATTGATAAGAGAACTAAAATTGATAAGTGAAATATTAAAATTGATAAGTGAATGAGATAAAATTGATAAGAGAACTAACATTGATAAGTACAATTTGTACATTTGTTATTTTATGTTAAATTAAATTATACCTCTATAGTTTTCATATTTAATCTATAGAATAGAAAATAATAAATAAATAAAATCTTAAAAAGTATGCATGTATAAAACAAAAACAAAAAAATTGCGATTCTGAGAAATGCTTTTTTTATTATTTTTATTATTGTCACCATTAAAAATTCTCAAAATTATTTTTATTATAATTTGGCTAATTCAAAATATTTTTAATCGATTGTAAAAAAAGCACATAAAAATATATCACCTTTCCAACCCGCTGCTTCATTATAATCATAAAAATTGCTTTTTGTAAAACAACCATAAATAAATCTATTGAAAACCAATTTATTCACGAATCGTTTTACTTATCCAAAATATTTATTTACCTGTTATGTATTAATGCAAGGAAAAAAACGTTAAAATCAGGAAAAGGAAACGTAGAACCAAAAAGAACCTTTAAACGAGAATTAGAAAACTTAATTATACGGCTTAATTTTGTTTATTCCATGATTTTAAAATAAATTAATAATATAATTATGTTTTAATATTTTTATTTATACATACGTTAATCTATTTATTTATAATAAAGTGCAAAAAAAATGACTACCCTTTTCTATTCCCGAAACACCAAAGCAATAATTTAATTAGATTAGTTATAAGTGTAATGCTCATATGTTTAGTATATGCACCCCTTAAAAAAGGAAAATCGGAATTGCGGAAAAGAAATCTGCGATTGCCAGATACGGGACCGCATTATCACGTGATCTCTCGCGGGATAAGAATTGGACATGGACCCGGAAGGGACGTATTGATTTTTCGTCTCTGTCAGTGTTACTTTTTCTCCCCTCTGTTAAAAGGTGCTTTAGTGCAACGCCCAATCTAATTTTCGCACTCCCTCTTCTTTTTTCTCTCTCTCTTTAATTTTTATATAATTTTTTACTCTACACTGATTGAGTTCATCAAATTCTTCCCGGAACAGAGTGGTGAGATCGAAAAATGTGCCAAAATATAAGACTTGGATATAACTGGGTTGAATAGACAGTTGAAGGATTTTTTTCTTCGCCTCTTAGGGTTGATATTAGATTCCGGTATTATTGCAAGTTTTTCGTGTTACGCCTGTTCATTGTTTAACGATTACCATTTGTATTTGTTAGGTTATAGAAATCACATTTTTGTAAATTTGCTTGATTTGATGCTTGCTACTTATTAGTCCCGGCATGGCATCCACTTTAAACCGCAGGTCCCGATCTAATATGATTGTTGAGCTTGGAACTTGGTATTGACAACCTTATGCGTAAAAAGAAAAAACATCTCCCTTTTTTGGAATCTGCCAGTAGGTAGACAGCCATTGTCCAACATGAACTGTAGTGCCAAGAAGTTAGTTAGATGTTTGGTATTAATAAATAAGCAGCCAACTGATTCTTCATGTAGGTCCGGGTTCCCCACTGTAGCCCATGTATGTCGTAAAAGGCGGTTAAATGGTTACCGAGTGCCCCATGTCTTTGTGCCGCAAGGTCAAGTACAAAAAGAAGCTCTATTTTTTACCCTTTATCAAGACCACACGGGATCGTGGACTTTGTCTAAATGTTGCTGTCGACCAAGTGAGATAAGAAACAGCAACAACCAATTGATTAAGCGTATCGTTTTGATATTAATCTTTCGGTCTATCTCTTTGATTTTTTTTAGATAACCTCGAAATGCAACAACAAATCGAAAATTCAATTTATACAGGCAATACTTCTGAGGTAACAAAATTAAATTTAATTCACCAATACGCTGCCATATTAGCTATATAATTTTTAAAAAAAATACATCAAAATTGCGCTTTGTTAATTTGTCTAGAGTGACACCGATTTAGAAAATACAATTTCGCTGAATTAAAATGATTATAAATTATTATTATTTCGATGCTCTTAAAATGAAGAATTTTCGATGAACTCAAAAATTACTCACATTATTGTTGTTCGTGGAAAATAATTCGGCAATTCTTTAAAATTAAATTGCGAAATTCCTACTAAATTCTATATAATTTTGTTGATCTATTATTATTATTTTTGGGCCTGAATGGCCGAGTGGCTAGCGCTCTGGTGCTCGGTACCACAGGTTTCGGGTTCGAGTCCCGGCGGTGCCATGGATGTTGTAGGGGTTCGGAATCCAATTTAAACTGTAGGTCCCGGTCGAATATGATCGTAGAGCGTTGCGGGGGCATTGTTACTCCGCGTCCGTGGCTTATCTTCAAGTTACACGCGCAAGATTAGCAAGATTACAAATGCAAAGTGAGTAGCATTTGTGCAGAACTTGCCTTAAGACATCCAAGATCAAATGTCTCAGTGTTTGCCATCTGCATTAGAAGAAAGAAAAAAAAATTATTATTATTTTATCTGCCAGTAGGCAGACGTCCTTTGCCCACTGTGGGTCTGTTGCTCCAATGAAGAAGAAGATTATTATTATTTTAACAATTTTCAAATAATACTATAATAATTTTTCTGCCAAGTTATCTGCCCTGCAAATGTTCACTAACGCAATGCAAACGAGCACTTAAGTCCACTACATTGAATCTAGCCAACGGCCGTACCATGCTGAATATACCGGTTCTCGTTAGATCACCGAAGAACATCATTGGTAAAAAATCGCAAAATCAGTACTTGGGTGGGTGACCACCTGGGAACACTGCGTGCCGTTAAAATTAAATTTGGGACCTGAATGGCCGAGTAAATTTTATTGGCGCTCGGTGTTATCTATTTCGGGTTAATCCCGGCGGTGCCATGGATGACGTGGTTCGGAATCCACTTTAAGCCGTAGGTCCCGGTCTTCTATGACTGTAAAGAGCGTCACGGAGCAAAAGTCAGGCTTCTACCTACGGGTGCTCCATCACAACAGAAGCTGCTTCCTTCCCCTTCAATCATGAGTACGTACGGGCTCGTGGGCTTGGCCAGCCAAGTGGGATAAGAAACAACAACAACAAACATTGAATCTTCTGGAACCAAGTCTAGTTTTGAATGCAACTTGACCACTGCACCTACATTTGAAGAACGACACTGGCTAACACAATTTCCTTCCTTCAACTCCTTCATTTATCATGGGAAAATCTTCTGTTGCGGAATGCTTTGACATATGTGTGTGTTCCTGAAGGGAGGGGGGGAGATCGTAGTTGGGGGGTGATGATGGATGCCTCACGTGAGGTACGTCACGCCCTCCTGGTTCATTTCCCACCCCACTCGCCCGTAGGATGGGGTGTGAAGGCGAGGGGTCAGGGGAAGGAGGGGGTGATGTTTTCACGCTTCGCCTCCCTGTCGTAACCCCCTGCCGGTTCTATACAATTAGAGACTAACGTTTGGGCTTTTCGGCACTCGAGTCAATAAACCGGAATGGAACAGCGATCTCATTCCGACAGCCAATCAGAGAGGGGTTCAATATTTCTATTTGTCTGCAGGGTATGTTTGGATTTATTTACTTTATTTTCTCTTGTGGAGATGTTGAGTTTAAAAAGTAAGCTTTTAATTTCATTTAAGAAATTTGATGCGTAGAATTGTGTTGGGATGCGAGGTGAGAAAATCTGTGCTTTTTGGGAATAGCAGAAAATGTACTTTTTGATACTTTTTTAAATTGACGATTTCCAATTTAATTGGAATGAAATTCGTTATTTCAATCGTGCGTTCTATTTTATTTGTTCAATTTCTTAATCATTTGTTTCAGCCAAATGAGTGTGTATCAATTTCTTTAAAGGCGTCAGAGATTCTAGGGTAGATTTATTAATTTATGAAAGTAATTATTTTATTCAATTTACTGGCATTATAAAGATCGTTATTAACCATCACTTTATTAAAACAAATAAACATGTGTTTTGAATTGAAAAAAAAAAAATACTTAATTAAAATTTTGGAGAAACGTTTTTTAAATGATGGTATAAAAAAAAAATAAAAAAAAAAAAAATAAAAAAAAATTTATAGATTAATTATAATATTTGTTGGATTTTTTTGACAGTTAAATTATTTCATTTTATATAATAATTTTTCCCAGCGATTTTATCCTGTATGCAAATTAAATTCTTGTATTTAAATTTTTAGGTGGACCTGATATATGATAAAGAATCTCTACTAGATGAATATACTCTGATAGATGTTGCATATATATTTCTATGGAAAAGGGTAACTTTTATTATTTTTTCAAATTATTTAAAAATCTTTAATGGATTACTTAACTGTAAACTGTTTTAATTTTAACTAATAATATTTTATTACATAAAGAGCTGCACAACGAGAGAAAAGGAAATATATTATTTATTTATTTATTTAATATTTCTTATCTCATACTAGATGATATTAATCTTTATAGTTTGAGATACAAGAAAAAAAAATCTATACTTAAAATATTTAAATGATATTGAGCATAAAAAATAGCTTCCAAATTAATTTGTGTCTTCCAATGATACTGATAATCGCAAATTATTAGACAAACTTTCTTTTTTACATTCTGAAATTCAGAAATAATAATTGCGTTATTAATACATTAATATAGTGTAGTTTACGATTATATGTTATAGGATGTTAATATGATTTTATGTTATATGATGACAACATTAATTTTTTAATATTTTTCTTGCAGCAAGGGCCAATGAGGTTCTCTTACAAAATCTTTGAGCGGCCTCCAAAGAAGTTGAAAACAGAAACTGTTATCTTAGATAAAGATATGAAAATGGATGAAGTTTGCAATACTCCAGTTACGGAAAGTAAAATAGAGGATGAGGAAGTGAAGGAAGAATTACCAGAAACATCTGTTCAAACCATTACTCCACCAGTTCCTGTAGAACAGGAAAAATGTGCTCCTATCATCATCAAGAAAAACTGTGCGGAGGAAAACAGTGCTATTATTGTAAATAAAATTGAAACAAATACTAAAAGCGAAACTGCCAGTGTATCGCAGCCTGCCGAAGAAGAGACTGAACCAAAAGAAGCCGTTGAAAGTTCTCCAGTTGTGACAACTAGTTCTAAAAAGGAACCGAAAGCAACGGCATTGAAATTTCTTCCAACATCAACAAGCAAAGGTTCTTCATCTGAGAGCAAACCAGCAGTGATGACGGTAGCTCCTTTAACCAAGCCCTCCACTTCCTTAGCCATAACAGCTTGCACCACTGCTTCTACCGGAACCATCACTCATGGACTGTACACAGGCATATCCATCAAAAAATCACCACCTAACACTCTCCCACCTTTCAGAATCTCCTCCCATTTGCTACCCCCTAGAGTTCCTCCACTGAAATTGTCACCCCCACGCTTTTCAAAACTCGAGTCATGCCTTCGGCAGATGTCACCGAAAGAAACTTCTTCTTCAAAAAAATCTTCCTCTCAGAGCAAAAAATCGAGGTCTTCGAAACACTCTTTCGACAAACTTGAATCCAAAGTTGCCCAGCTGAAATCAGCATCTATCAAAAGCATAGCTCCTCTTGTTATTTCCGTGCAGCACGAAAGCAAGTGTGAATCTCGTAAAGCTCCAGAGTGTGTTGTTTCGGAGAAAAAGACTGTCGAAACTGTAACCACAAAAGAGCCTGAGGTGATTCGTGAAGATCTCAAAGAATCCAGTCAAGATTCTAAGTCTAATCATGACGATGACAAAATGGACTTAGACAGTGATATATTTGAAGGACCTTTGGTGATTGCCGAACCTGACCCGCCATCCAAAGAAGAATCAGAAGCTTCTGAAGACAAGATGTCAGATATTGTAAATAATAAAGAGGAGAATAAAGTAGAGGATCCTGAAGACGAAGAAATAGATGTGGTGGATGATGGTGAAGCCGATAGCGGAAGAGGTAGTGACATAAGTAGCCGAGCTGAAGCTCGATCTTTATCCGGTGATGATGATGTAGGATCTCCAGATTCTGTTCCAAAAACTCCTGATGCTGAGCGTCAGCTTACGGTCGCGATTTACAATCCTTCCTCTCAAGATGATGCAGAATCCAAGCCCAAAAGTCCTGAATGCAATGGTATGAGCAACGACACCAATGGCTCATCATCTTCTTCAAGCACGAATAATGAATGTGGGGTCTTGGACTTGTCTACTTGCAGTAGAAAAAGAACCCACGAAGGCGACATGGTGAGTCCTCGTTCCAAACCAGTTGCAAATCCTGCTGTGCTAGATAAAACACGCCAAACGCCTTGTCGATCACTCGAGCACCCTTCATTTAAAGTACGATCTCCTGCTGTTATTCCTCATATCAATGCATACAAAAACAAGTCGGAGAATGGTAGTCGCAACTTTAAGTGTCGCGGAAACAAACTGACTGTCATTAATCCTGACCCCAATGGGGATAGACCAAAGCTTTTGATTAGAAATTTAGGTCCGAGACCTGACCGAAGTCATGAACATTTTCATCATCATCACCACAATCACCACCACCATCATCAACGAATGTGAACATTTGCAGTTGGAGTCTACTGGCAGAAGGACATTTTTTTTTTCGTGTCTTGAGCACTGAATGTAGAGACTTAAGAATGAAGGAAAGGGAAAGAGCAATTTAACTGTTAAAGCCATTAGTTACTGAAAATAATTGGAGTTAAAAAAAAAAAAGGGAGCTATCTTCTCCAATTAAAATAACGTTAAGTGTTTCTCTTTATAGAATTATGTTTATAACATTTGACTAAGTTATGAATCTGTTTCTTGTTTGAATTTCCTATAGAACTGAATTGTTTATCACTTTGGTTAAAAAAAATATATTATAATCAAATATTTTTGAAATTTTTTATTAAATAATTTTAATTCTATATGACTGTAAATTTTTCTAATGGAAAGTGCAAAAAGGTAATATTAATCCTATTGAGTTCCATACTCGTAAAGTATGTCTATGTGCTTAGTTTATTAATGAATTTTAAGCATATCGACATGTTGATTTAATTAATCAACTATAATAATTTTGTAACTATAATCTATTTATATCTCTTTAAATTAGATGCAAAAGAGAACATAGCTGTAGAATTCCACGTTAGCTTTTTTTAAGTGTTAATTGAAGGCCGAGGGAAAATGAATGTTAGTTTGACTTAACCATCGTGATCAAGTTTTTATATTTTATATTATAAATATTAAGTTCAACTTTTAAAACTTCGACTTATAGAAATGATGAAGAAAATTTTCTTAATTTTAGTAAATAAAAATAAAAAAAATAATTGAGATTTTTAAGACGCAAAGAAATTGTATTATATGAAAAAATATTAGACGCTGATATTAATCATTTAAACACAAAAGGAAAAACATGTATACTTAAATTGTTCAATGAAATTGAACACAAAAAATAGCTTCTAAATTAATTTAATTGAGTCTTCCAATGATACTGATAATCGCGACATATTGGACAAACTTTTAAACTTCCTTCCTTGAAATTCAGAATTAATAATTACATTAATACGAATTAGTTTATGATTGTATTAGTCGTAGAAAGCAATTGAATGCAATGCAAACAACCTGAATGAGCTAATGAATAATAAAAATAATAATAATGAAATTGAAGAATGATTGAAAACCAAATTAATTTCTCTCTTAACCGTTGCGAAACGCCGTCATCGTGAAGTTTATAAGTACAAAAAGAACATGGAGCTGACATATATTGCTTTGTTACGAAACAAAGTGCCTCTAACATTATCGTAATAACACCACCGCATTTTTTCTGTATCATCAAGAACGAAATGAATTT